AGAGTCTAAAATAATCTTTCCATAATAAATACCAGTAATTCTCTGAAATTTTCCCTTCTACCCACCTAAATCACTTGTGGTAGAGAGAGGGGTCCCACTTCTTTACCAAGGAACTGTCTACCTGTGTGCTCAATCCCACCCAGCCTCCAGCCTCCATCTCGCCATGTCTGCTCACAGTCTTTACCCTTCTCAATTTTTATGGTTATTATTTGCCTCCAGCCCTACCCTCCTCCATTTGAGAGTCCCCCCTCTCCCAGTTTCTATGACACAACAGTCTTCTGGTTCTCCTTCTATTTCTGTAATCAGTCCTTCTCTTCCCACCTAAACGTATACTCCTGAGCTCTTGTCCGCAGGCCTCCTCTCTTTCTTGCTTTTCTCCTTCAGGAGTTTCTCCATCCACTTTGATAGCTGCATTGAGCACATCTAGAAGGGTAGTCCCAAATCTTTACCTCCCTCTAGCCCCAGACTAGCATTTATAACTTTTTATTTGACGTCTTCACTTGCTTGCCAGACCCAAACTCCTCACCCTCCACCTGGAATAGCTCTTTCCCCAGCTTCCCAGTCTGTGTTAAGGTCAGCACATGGGCTGCAGCTCTCACATGTAACTGAATTTAACATGGATTTTCTCCGTTATTATTATCATTATTTTCCTGCCTTATTGGTTCCCTCAAACTAAGCAGCTTTCCATTTTTTGAATTCATGGACTCCCTTCTGCAGATGTTTACAAAAAGATTGAACCAAATCAAAGTATTTTTAAAGAGTTCTAACTTTCTAAACTTACACACATCACAGAGCTCTGATCATCTTCGACATGCATGGCCCAGACCCAACCAGTCAAATTTCTGCCCCAGGTTTATTCTAAGTGGAATGAACCTAGAAGGACCCTTGACACCAAAGTCAAAGAACTAGAAGGATGAAAACCCAAGACTTTTGTGCATTCGATAGAGTGTCCGTTCACTGTCCCCTGAATACACCCGGGCTTTCTTTCTGTCATGTTATCATCCCTCCTCTTCTTTCTACTAGTTGAAATTATATCTATCCATTGCTCAAAATTTACCACAAACAGCATTTACTCCTCAATTCTGTGGTCTCTCCCTCCTTTGAACCACTCCCACTACAGTGTAAGCTTCTTAACGACTGAAAAGTGTTTCCCATTCATTTCTTTATCTGCCACCACCTCATCCCCCAGCCAGGCACAGGGCCTCGAAGACAAGTACATAACAAATTTTGGCTCCTTGGCATCAAAGAAGTATATCCGATCACCAGTTTTTGTATAATACCTATTTCTTTTATTCTAACATGCACATTTTTCACAATTTAATACTGGTGAAATCAAGATTCATCTTATTATCATTGGCATGCTATAATTTAATTAGCAGCAATTTTTCTTTCTTAGTGGTACATAAAATATGAGTGCATCTTACAGTTGATGGTTTCTTAGATTCAGTGAAGTAAAGTATCATTAAAGCATCTCTGATAACAGTTATGTTTACTCCTCTGTCTTCCTGCCTCTAGGGTGAATCCTTCCATGGTCTCGATATTTCCTTACTTCCTGTTTTCTACTCCTCCTTTAATCTTCCACTTTTCTCGGGTAGAGTCAGACTATTACACTGCAATAAGGCAGTGCTGAACACAATGGTGTAATTGTATCATGGTCCCACATGATAAATGCTCTACATGATTATAAATATGTTTGCTACAGAATTAACTCCAGTTAAATACATAAGCTAGTTAAAATACATCTTAATTTTTTTTTATAATTTATTTATTTTTCCCCCAAAACCCCAGTAGATAGTTGTATGTCATAGCTGCACATCCTTCTAGTTGCTGTATGTGGGACGCGGCCTCAGCATGGCGGGAGAAGTGGTGCGTCAGTGCATGCCCGGGATCCGAACCCTGGGCCACCAGTAGCGGAGCACACGCACTTAACCGCTAAAGCCACGGGGCTGGCCCACATCTTAATTTTTTAAAATGTAAACAGGCCACCATGTTATATGATCCTCAATTTATGAAGACAACGTAGTCAGAAGCAGAGTAGTGTTGGAATTAAATAAGACAACCAAAGCAATATAATATATTTAATGACAATATAATTATCATTCTCTGAGCAGCACTATGGCCTAGAAGAGTCTCTAGAGAGTAAAGGTTTCTAAACAAGTCCAGATGCCCTGTACCATCCAGTTATCCTTGTTTACACCCTTTCATTCTTCATTTGTCTGTGAGGCTGGGAAATCCAGTGGTCTTGTGTCAGGCAGCTCATGGAAGGGAAGCTGTCCTCATTAGCACTCACATGGGGGGACCTGCCATGACCCCTATGAAGAGCTGGTCTCTTACCTCCTCTTCCCACAGCCTAGGATCCAGCCAAAACAAAAGGCTTGCCCCACAAGCCCTATAATCTGCAATCCCAGACTTTCCTGCCTCTCTCCTGCCTTTGCTCAGGCTGATCCTTTCATCTACGGCAGCACTGTCTAACAGGACTTTCTGGGATGCTGGAAATCTTCTGTAGATCTGCACTATCCAATACAGTAGCCACCAGCCACATGTGGCTATTGAGCAGAGCACTTGCAATGTGGCTAGTGCGATGTGGCAAGAACTGAGTTTTTAATTTTATTTTACTTAAATTTAAATGGATACATGGCTAGTAGCTACTATATTGGACAGCACAGATCTAGCATGTACTTTTCTATATGTGCATCTAGCATGTACATTTCTTCTTCTCCAAATCCCCAACCTTCGAGGGGCAGCTCAGTGACTGTTTTCTCATGCAATCCAGTCTTCCCAGCGGAAATCATTCTTTTCTTCTTCAGAATTCCCATTACACTTTGAACCATTATTGTAGCACTTAACACTTTTTAACTTATAGATGTTTGTATATCATGTCCTCTACCAGTCCCCTCTCTGAGAGCTGTGACTATCTCTTATTCTTAATTTGGACCACACTATACTTCACGATGCTTTAAAGTGTTTGTTGCATGAATCTATAATAGCAGAACAGCAATTAACATTCGCAATAAGGAATCGACAAGGATTGCTGTGCAATAAAGGATTAACCTTGCCAAAAGAAATGTTTGGGCCTTGGCCTCCAGCTCCTGGGAGGTAATTTCTAAGCCCTTGGAATGTCCTGCCTGATAGGAAGGTCTTTGTTTACCTGGGGTACTTGGGCCATGCCAGATAGTCTATGCTAACAATGTGATTTATGATGGGGGCCTTGGGCTATGAGTTCTCAGCTCAACCTCTGGAAAGGCTGGAGACTGGGGTCAGCCATGTGGGCAGTAGCTGTATCTACATGGCTGACCCCCCAATAAAAACTCTGTACATCTTGATGAGCTTGGGTGAGTTTCTCTGGTTGGCAATACTCAGTGCAGAGTGTCACACATGATTGCTGGGAGAAATAAGCACTATTTGCACAACTCCTCTGGGAGAGAACAACTGAAAGTTCTGTTCCTGGTCTCTCCGGGATCCTGCCCTATATGCCACTTCTCTTTGCTGATTTTAATCTGTATCCTTTTGCTGTAATAAACCACAACCGTGAGTATAGTGGCTTTTCTGAGTTCTGTGAGTCCTTCTAGTGAATTACTGAACCTGAGAGTGGTCTTGGGGACCTCTCAAACTTGCAGTTGCCCAAGGTAATCTATGTCATATGCTTGCCTGGAGCCAGCCCCTCTGAGAGTTCAGCTCCTTGTATCCCAGCCCTGATCACACAGCCTCTGGTGGGCTGATGTCCAGAAATGATAAGTCTGGTCCTTAACATGGGCAATGGAGTGGTGAAGCAAGTATCTCGGACCAGGATCACACAAGGAGTGTGTATTGGAACAGAAGAAATGGATGGGGGACTAACGTGGGGGAAGGAGCAGAGAAGCTGGGATGCATACAGCAATGGTGTGGTCAGTCACGATGAGGGAGTAAGTGAGAGGATCAGGTAGCTACAGGCCCTCTACTTGAAACTCTGGAGGCTCTGATATCTGTGTGTGCTCTAATCCTCAGGAACCAAGAATCCTGGCCCCTAGGATTCATGAGCCATGGAGCAGACTCCTAGGCCAGAGCTTACTTGATTGAAGACAGGGTTATGCCCACTCTTTGACTGTACCATTTGTCTACTCTTGACCAAAGGACCAGACATCCAGACCCTGAGCAGGAAGGTGGTAGGGGCAGTGAGAAAAAGAGCAGAACAACTTACATCAATAAGCAAGAAATCCCAGGTGGGCATTCCCTCCCTACTCTCCCAGAACAGATTTCTGATACCAAGTGCTGTGATTTAAGAAAAGGCTCCCTTCTCAAAATCATGTCCTTTATACCTCCAGAAATTCTACTAATTAGAAATTCACTTACGTAGCAAACACCTAAAACAGGGTTAAGAGAAATGGTCATTCACAACTTACTGTAGATTCAATAAATTGGATTGCTTTCCTAATCTGAGTTTAGCTGTGTTAGAGGAAAGAGTCACTAGCTTGTGGGGGTAAGGGAGAAATCATTCTAGAGTGCGAGCACTTCTGGTCAGCATAGGTAGGGTCCCCGGGTGGGGGCAGGGCTTGGACACAGGGATTATTGAGGACACTGGTCAGCTGGAGAGAAAGGAAAGAGCCCAGAAAGGGAGGTAGGATGGAATCTGAAACAAATTTCCCAGACCCATGCCTCCTTCTGCCCCAAGACCAAGTTCTGCTATCACTAATTCTCATGTCACTGTCCCTCCTCCCAGAGGTAGGCTTGTCCTGTATGGAAATTCCAGGAGAGAAACATTGAGCTGGCTTCACGAGGGCCTCATGGGAGACTGCAAATGTTTTTCTAGACAGACCTAGAAGTAAAACCACCAGCAAAGAGAATGGTCTGTGGGGTAAGCGGGGGTTGAAGGAGGGAGAAGGGCAGAAGTACTTTCTGCTATATGTAGAATGAGCACAGGCTTAGAGACATTCTCTGAGAAAGGAGACGTCTGTTTTTTCATTTCCACAGGACCTGGCACAGGGTGGGCACTCAATATTTAAGGAATGGCTGAATGAATGACATCCCCTCATGTTGCAAAATCATGCAAGTTGCCAGACTCACACAGGTCAAATCATTTCGTGTTTGGAATCTGAGCTTTTTTTCCTTCCTAAGTAGGCACTTAATCCAGTTGTTCGGGTTTAAAGATGTTTTAAACCTATTTTGAATCCTAATTTCCCATCTCCTATCCAGAAAGCCCCTAAGCTTGCCCTTCATTTTTCCCTTCCCCTTTGCAACTGAATCCTAGGCTTCATAAGGGTCTCAGAACATCTGGGAGGCATGTGAGTCCTTTTTTATTGGAGGGGTGCTCTCGTGAAACTGTTCAAACACAAGAACAGAAGATGACAGTCCCAGCGAGGCATGAAGTGGGACACAGAGCACAGCATGAATGAGGAGCAATCCCGTGAGCTCCGGGGAAGTGCAGCTGGAGGGGTCCTGGCTCCTCCGAGAGATGGGGCACTGCTCGTGGTGGTCCGGGAGCCGCTTCTCTGTCTGGTGAGGGGAGTGTGGTCAGCAGGTCCACATGGGGAAGGCTAGTCAGGCCCCAGAGATGTCTATGCCCTTTCCCAGGCACAGCCTCAGAGCCCCTAGGAAAACACTGACCAATAAATTAAGTTGAAAAATATGAAGGAGGCAGGGAATATCAACCTGGAGTATTTGTCGATGGCATGGGTGTTCTGGAAGATGCGAAGACCCATCTGGCCCTTCAGAAGCCCCTTCTTCCTGGAGGAGTTGGATTCATTGCTCAGGGCCAGGTGGACCACTATTTTGTCTTGCCTTTCTTCTTCTGTCAGGATATGGTTTCTCGGATACCCGGCCAGGCTGTTGGCCTCAGACTCACCGTAGCTTCCATCCAGCATCATGGTTCTTGACTGAGGCATTTCACACTGTGGGAGGCAAATACAAGGGGAGGTGTCAGGCATGTTCAGGCCTATGAGAGGGGCAGAGGAGGTGGCCTGGGCTGACAGCAAAGCCTCGTGGCTACTCAAAACCACAGAAAGGCCTCTGGAAGGCTCTGCAGAGATCACTTAGTCCAAGGATTCTCTACCCCAGCTTCATATTAGGGTCACCTGGGAGACTCTTTAAAATGGCCATGCCCGGGCTCCATTCTAGACTAATGTAAAGCTCCCAACGGATTCTACTGTGTAGCCAGGGTCCAGAACCACTGATTTAGTCTAAACACCCTCAATTGCAGAGGCAAAAACTAAGACCCAGAGAGACTACACAATTCTCCTGAGATCACACAGTGTCAGTCAGGACTTTAAATCACACATTCTGATCCAGTTGTGGGACTCCACCTCTTTGTGCATGAATCAAAAACTGATTAGGTGGGAGAGTATCTCTATTCTAAAGGATTCCATTTAAGGGTAAAGGGTCATGGTGCCCGCAATGTATTTTTAAATGGGTCAACAGCACCAACAAAACTATGTTTCTATGGAGAAAGAGCTCATACAAAAATGGCAAAATGTTAACAATGTTGGATGTAGGTGCAGGTATATGGATATACGTTATCCTATTTTTTTACTGTTTCTGCAAGTATGAAAATGTTTATAGGAAATTATAAATTGATGCGGTCTATACAGAAACTGATGTATAATAATGTACATCTGAAATTTACACAATGTTATAAGCCAATGTGACCTCAATAAAATAATTTTTTAAAAAAATTATAAGTTGGAGGGAAGGAAATGGTTTCACTTAACTTCTCCCCACCATTTGAGTCAGCAAAGACAGGGCTTCTAGCTGGTACCTGGACTGACTGGTTTTGGCCAAAGGCATGAGGTCTGCCTGATATATCCCACTGGCCTTATTCTTCTCAACCTGTGGCTATAATATTTCTAATCTGGCTCTCAGTCCTGCAGTGTCTATTTTTCCACTTGGGAAAGTGAAATAATGATGGTTCACAACCTGCCTCCTATTGTTATGGATCTTGAAATACACAAATGGTACCGTGAAGCTTTAGGATACAAAAATAGATGAATAATTTTATGTAAAATCAGAATTACTTGAAGTATTCTCATCCTTGAAGAAAGCTTTGGTGGTTTGGGGAGCTGTTTTTTTTTAATCAGGCATGATTATTTCATTATCATTTCTATGTCTGGTCCCATCAGCAACAATAGTTAAGTAGCACATTAATACATTCCTAGAATAATTAGCTCATAGACTTTAGGTATAAAAGGTTATCTATTTAATTCTTTGCACTTAGGTATAATCATACCCAAACTTTGATAAAATTGTAAGATACTGTTACTGGGAGCTTTTTTTTTTTTTTAAGACACAGATCTTGCTTTTTTTCCTTGCTCAAAACTCGAATTCTTTCTGCTAAGGTGAAAATGGACTTTTCTCCTAAGATTTTGAGTTAGAATCAGGAAATGCCAACAATTGATGATAAATCTCTATTTTCGATATCGGCTTATTTCTAAGAAAAATTAAGTGGCTTCTGGCACATTGGACAGGTCTGGATAATCAGCCAAGGAATTCGAGCATGCCCAGGGGAGGCAGACCCCATGCCCCCACACTCTGCCTGCCGGCTTCAACCCAAAGCAGCAGGTCCCCCATTCGAAGCGGGGTGCACCTAGCAGCCTCCAGTCAGCCTTGCCCTTTGCGTAATGGAGGTCAGACTGCAGTGAGCGTCAGAATCACCTGGGAGCCTGTTAGCAATGTGGATTCCAGGCTGCCATCCTGGAGATTCTGAATCACTAGGCCTGGGGTGCAGCCTCAGAATCTTTGTTTTTAACAGGCTCAGAAGGTGAATCCAGGCCTAGTGCTCCGTGGCTCTCACTTTGGGAAACTCAGCTCCACCAGGGCCATTTTAATGGTCACAAATAGTGGTTTCTCTGTGGGGCGGCAGGAGAGAGATTTTGTGTCTTCCCACCACGGTCTGCCCTCCAGCAACTACAGCTTCTCAGCCTTGAAATCCCACATTTGACGTTTGATAAGAGTGTAGTACAAGCCCTCCCCTCCCGGGGGTCTGTTCTCACACAGACAGGGAGCTGGACGTGGGCCCACTGGCCTCTCCACGTATGATTTCCTTGTTGCTCTTTAGGCAGTGTCACATCAACACTGGCAAAGACTGGCCCCGGGTGTGGTAACAGCTTAACGAACTGCCTGAGGACAAGCTCTGTGCGGTTAACGGTTCATGAGTTCACATTCATCTGAAGAAGTCTTTGCTACTCTTTGAACAGCTCTATACAGGAAAGTATAATGGACCATAAATCAAAAATGTTTAATTATAATCCAAAGGCACTTGATAATGATCAATGTGCAAATTACCGAAAATTTGCGCAAATACTCAAATGCTGAAATAAAAAAGGTCTGAATAGAATTTTAAAAATAAATTCTTAAACAATCTAGCATATTTGGAGACAATGTGGAAATATTAACAGGTAAAATGTGGGCATTGAAAGACTATTTTTGAAAAGGTAACACATCCTCTTTTCCTAAAATTTAAATCTCTTTTATGCTAAGGAGCTACCAGCCACCTAAGATGTACATAAATATGGGATTTTTATGTTTCCTGATCTCTACACCTTTTAGATGAACACCCATTTTGATTAGTGCAATGATTAGCAATGATTTAGTAACAAGTTGGTATTTTATTTCTTATTGTGATTAATAAGAGTTTGAATATGAATAGAATAGACTTCACCCCCCCCGCCAGTGCCAAAGGCCCGTGCACATTACCTTGAATTCCCCAACTGCTTTCTATCTCGTAATATAGTTTAGTATAGTATAGTACAGTATAGTATAGATAGTGTAGTATGTCCAATGAGTCTGAAGGCTAAAGTCGTATGTGGCTAAATTTTCACTGGGCCAGAGCACTGATAAATACAGGAGTTTTTAATTCTAGAACTCTCCCTTTGTCTGGTCATAGGACAGGGAAGCATTTTCCCTAGACACGTTCAGTAATAATAGTGACACTTTATGCGTGTCTAGAACTCTACAGTTTCAAAACAACTTCTACATACGTTCTCTCATGTGACCCTTACAGTAACTCTGGGGGGATGGTGGGTGAGGGTTCTGTTATACCTTTTTTACAGATGAGGAAACTGAGGCTCAGATTAAGTGGCAGAGTTGGACCTAAGAACCCGGGTCTTCCTATTCCTAGTCTTTGTCCAAAGACTTTCTGCCCCCTGAGATTCTTGGTGGTAGAAGCTAGAACCTCTTCTAAAATAGATCTTCCTCCTTTTGCATAAACATCTCCCTCCCACCCCCTCCACCCCATTCTCATCCCACCAGTAGCATGTGCTCAGACAAGGAAATGAACAAAACTTCTCCTGCCTTCTCCTGCAGCTTCCGTTCCTTCCGCTCCTGCACGGTGGTCAGGTAGTTGACGGCTGCGTACTCCAGCACCGAGAGGAACACGAACACGAAGCTGACCCAGAGGTAGATGTCCACGGCCTTGATGTAGGAGACGCGGGGCATGGAGGCGTTCACGCCTGTGATGATGGTGGACATGGTCAGCACCGTGGTGATTCCTGCAAACATCCAGCTTTAGTTCAGCCGCCAACAAGGGTACAGAGCTGCCCCACACTTCATTGTCACCATCTTACATTCTCCATCTCTTAAATCTAATGAGAAATTCCCCGGGCATGTTTCCACCATGTAGAGGTGTGCAGATCTGCTCCACAAGCAGCCCGGCCGTTCTCCTCCTGGCCAACTCGCTGCCTGTTTCCTTTCAGTTGAAGCCCCCTGGGACATTGGGTTTCTGTGATGTGGCTGACAAGATCAGGCATGCTTCAGAAAGGACCTGATCAGATGTGGAATTTAAAACAGTGACTAAAGGGCACCCCAAAAGGAACCTTCCCCTACCTCAAGGAATGACCACATTCTCCCTCATCTAAACCACATTTATTAAGTCCATGAAGACTGTGGAAATTCCTAGACGGCTATTATGCTAGTTTCTTCTTCACTATGCCTTGCTGGTCAAACACTCACATTTCTTGGGGCCCAACCTGATTTTGCCGAAACTGGCAATGATGTGTTATAAACATTCATTCTGGAATTCAGGGTCTGTGAAGATCTAAAACCACAACTCTAGGGAGTGCAGTCCTCTCCTTCCCAGAAATCACAGAAGACAGGTCCTGCCTCCAAACTCTCAGTCTGTCTGAACAAGACCAGCAAACAAAGTCTTTGCATTTGCAGAATAAGTTTTTGGCATTTGTAGATTTGTCTTATTTATTGAAGTACCAAGCTCTAATACTGCCAATGGTGGAAGTCTATACCCCAAATAGGCTATATCTTTCTGAAATGATCCTAGCAGAGTGGATGTAGTTTTAGCTAATTGTGGTTTTCATAATGTAATCTAGGAAACTGAGAGCAACATATGAATGGTGAAGGCTAGAAGCAGGAGGAAAGTTTGCTCGTTTTGACTCTGACAGCCCATCAGTTAAGAACTCTGAATAATGATTATACTTTTTCTACACATAGTGATCAGTTGAAAAAAATAACGGCCCTACCACACCTTATCAAATGCTTTTACCCAGTGAAACTCTGGCGGGCACTGCTCTGCGGTCGATCCAGAAGGACACCCAGGACAGCATGACCATCAGGGTGGCAGGGAAATAGGTTTGGAGCAAGAAGAAGAAGATGTGGCGACGCAATGTGAAGTTAATGTACAGACGGTTGTACCAGCCTGGGGGACACAGGAAGAAGCCCGTGAGGTTCAATGAGAAGCAAAAATAAACCCCTTCCCTGGGGGTCTGTCTTTCCCTGACATTGCTCTCATTTTTAGCAGAAAGTTAAAAGTTAATAATCAATTGGCTTAATAGAAAACATTTCCTCTCCAAAATCTAAGCCCTCTCTCGTGTCAATAAATATCTTGCCAGTCTCTAGTACATTCACTGTTTTATTCAGTATAATCTAACTGCTCTTTACGGCATTTAGGGGAAAGGTAGAAATAAACACAGAGTCTACGGTTAGTTGTTTGTTTGGTTTTTGTTATTTGCAAACCACAACTGTATTTCCTGAGTGACTTGCTGCTTAGGAGTGTAAGAAGTTGGAGTGGTTCTATTTTGTTGAGGCCAAAACCCCTGAGGCAGGAGCCAGCAGAGCTGGGCTGTTGTCACCACCCCCTTTACTGTGCTATTGGTCAGATCAGTCAATCTCCACAACCAACACAAGAAGAAACAGGCTATTCACATGACTGTCTGACATCCATTTTGTAACTGTGTATGGGGATGGATGTTAACTGGACTTATCATGGTGATCATTTTGCAGTACATACAAATAATGAAACATTACATTGCACACTTGAAACTAATATAATGCTATGTCAATTATACCTCAGTAAAATATAATAATAGTGAAAAAAAATAAGTAAATAAATAGTCATCACCAAAAAAGCCGTCCATGAAACTAAGTAGTAAGGATTAACATACTTTAGATTTATTATATTAAAAATCTTTAAGTAATGCTTAAAAAAAAGTTTTAAATCTAAAAATAAAATAATAGGGGCTGGCCCTGTGGCTTAGCGGTTAAGTGTGCGCGCTCCGCTGCTGGCGGCCTGGGTTCGGATCCCAGGCGCGCACCGAGGCACTGCTTCTCTGGCCATGCTGAGGCCGCGTCCCACGTACAGCAACTAGAAGGATGTGCAGCTATGACATACAACTATCTACTGGGGCTTTGGGGGAAAAAAATAAATAAATAAAATTAAAAAAAATAAATAAAAAATAAATAAATAAAAATAAAATAATAAAGTCTGACATCTACTCCTCCCACTCCATCTGCCTTGTGGAAGTCACTCTATCCATTTTATGTAAGTCGTTAACCGTTTGATCATTCCTCAGGAAAAAATGAGGATATAGTTATTATGTATTTCATTATGGCAATTTGAGAATCACTAATTAAAGGCTGTAAAAAAGGATTGAAATTGTAAGGTTTCAAATGATCCACAAGATATTACCCAACCACTGGGACCAAAGACGGAGTCAAGGACAGGGTCAATGTGTAAAGTGGACTGAAGCTGTGAGCACACCCCCACCCCACTCCCATCTCGGCCCAGCCGCATCAGAGAACGTCAGAACTCAGAGATGGTCCAGCTCTGTGTCCCAAAGCATCAGGTACACACAGTGGTGGGGTACACACAAGATGATTTCAGGGGTACAGAGACAGGTACTTTTTTTGTTTGTGTTCATTACATTTATTGTTAAAGTCACCTTCTATTTATGGGAAATGACATCAGTTTCCCGGTGATATAAAGTTCCTTTTCAAAATAAAGTACAGGGCCCGGCCCTGTGGTGTAGTGGTTACGCGCACACGCTCCGCTGTGGCGGCCCCAGGTTTGGGATCCCTGGCGTACACCGACTCACCGCTTGTCAAGTCATGCTGTGGCGGCGTCCCACATAAAGTGAAGGAAGATGGGCACGGATGTTAGCCCAGGGCCAGTCTTCCTCAGCAAAAAGAGGAGGTTTGGCGACAGATGTTAGCTCAGGGCTGATCTTCCTCACACAAAAAAAATAAAGTACAAAAGGGGAGTTGACTCAAAGGAAAAAATTAAGTAGATGGCAGCATAAGCGGTACATAAGTAAGACAAACATCGCAATGATGTTATGTAAATAAGTGAGATCTTGTAAATAACTGAAAGCCAGATTGAGTCTAACTCTCTTATTTGGGACATGAGGAGACTCCCAGAGGCTTATCTAAGACCTCAGCCTGAGTCACAGATGAACTTGGGTCAGAACTCAGGTCTCCAATGCCCAGGACAGGGCTCTTCTCACACAACATCCCTTCAATTCCGCAGTGGTCACTGAGGGTCTCCGCATGTGAATGCTATGCTAGGGCCTGGAGGGGATAGAGAGAAACCTAGACCTTGGTTCCTGCCCTCAAGGATTTTCAAGGAACCGAATGGAAGTCCCACAGAATGGAAGTGCTCGAGATGTGGAACTGCGTGTATCTAAGTGCTAAAATGTCCATCTTTGTAAGCAGTGATGTTAGGTTTTGGAAAAGAGAGACCCGAATCACTATTGGCTGGAATGATGAAGAAAGGCCTCATGGAGATGAGTTTTCACGGGATGGGTGGAATCCCTGGGAGATTTACCAGTCTCCAAAGCCCTGTCCTATTCCAGAGAGATTCTGACTTAATTGGTCTGGGGTGGGAACTAGGCTTGGTTATGTTTTCAAAGTTCCCTAGGTTCATGGTAGCACTATTCACAATAGCCAAAAGGTGGAAACAACTCAACTGTCCATCAACAGATGAATGGATTAAAAATGTGGTGTATCCAAGCATGATTTCACTCATACGTGGAAGATAAACAAACACATAGACAAAGAGAACAGATTAGTGGTTAGCAGAAGGAAAGGGGGTTGGGGGAGGGCATAAGGGGTAAAGGGGCACATATATATGGTAACTTCGCAAATAGTAATGTACAACTGAAATTTCACAATGTTATCAACTATTACGACCTCAATAAAATTTTTTTAAAATGTGGCATATCCATACAATGGAATATTATTTGGCCATAAAAAGGGATGGGATTCTGACACATACTACAGTATGGATGAACCTTGAAACTATTATGGTATGTGAAATAGGCAGTCACAAAAGGACAAATATTGTATGATTTCACTTATATGAGGTACCTAGAATAGTCAAATTCTAGAGACAGAAATAGAATAGAGGTTCCCAGGGGCTGAGAGAAAGAGGGAATGGGGCGTTATTGTTTAATGGATACTGACTTTCTGTCTGGGATGATAAGTGGACAGTGGTGATGGTTGTACAACATTGCGAATGTACTTAATGCCCGTGAATTGTACACTTAAAAATGGCTAAAATGGTAAATTTTATGTTATGTATCTTTTACCACACACACAAAAATACTAGCCAACAACAACAAAAACCTTTCCCAGGTAATTCTAATGCGCTGCCAGAGTTGAGAAACATTAACTTAGAGCAGTATTTCTCAAAGTGGGTGTTCCTGGACCAGTAGCAACAGCATCATTGGGAACTAGTTAGAAATGCAAATTCTCGGGGGCCCACACAAGACCTACTGATGAGAAACTGTGAGGGACAGAGCCCAGCAATCTGTGTACACTGTCCCTGGGGGACTTATTAAAACACAGATTGCTGGGCTCCACCTCCGGAGTTCCCAGGTGATGCTGATGCTGCTGGTCTGAGCACCATACTTTGAGAACCACGTTGGCTAAAAGCAATGGTCTTTGAACTTTGATATGCATAAAAAGCCCTTGTTAAACATGTAGATTCTTGGACTCCACCACCTGAGATGCTGACTCAGTAGCTTGCAGTGGGGCCCAGAAATCCACTTGTCAAACACATTTCTCTGGTGGTTTGGATGTAGGTGGACCTCAGGCTGAACCCAGAGAAACATTGCCAAGGGGACAAAGGCCATCTGGCTGGAGTGGAAAGTTAGTACTGAGGCAGGTAAAGGAAAGGTTGGGTCAATAGAGAAAGGCTGGAACAATAGGATGGGTCCAGACAATTACCGTGTAGGCTCCTGGGTTGTTTAAACAAGGTAGGTGATTTTAGTGGAGTGGATAAATAGAAAGTGATCTTCAAATAGGACAGAAACTACTAATCATTCATTCACCCCTCAGTCTTTGTCCAATCATGTCAGTTCTATTTTCCCTGCTTAAATTGGCACCCATGAAGCAAATCACATTGTTCCTTAGGTTTGCAAAGGGTCTTTCTGGAAGGGCAGAGAGCTGCCTTTACTCCATGAAGGACTATTCCTTTATCCTTTCCTTCTTTCTGAGAAAACCAGGGAGAGTTGCCTTGGAAACACTAGGAGGGAACCAGGAGCTTTGAAAATGTACACTCTGTGTTCTAAACAGAGCTCTCTTGGGTGAGATGATAGTCGTGTGGTGTGGGATGATAAACCTACTTGTTGGTACATCGTAAATAACGGGAGTAGGAGATGCATTTAAACTGGACTCCAGAAAGGCTTGAGTGGGGAACAAAACAAACAAACAAGTATGCTATTCCAATACGAAAAACATCTAAGATGAGTACACAGAGTGACTAAGGCAGATTGCCTGGCCACTTCCCAGCTGTGCAAATCAATAAACAACTTAATCTCTCTGAGTCTCAGTTTTGTCATCTGTAAGCTGGGGATGATAATATCTGTACCATAGTTTTGCTGGATAGAAATTAGTTAATTCACATAAAGCATTCAAAACAGTGGCACATAATCAAAGTTATATAAGAAACTCTTAAAAATGGTTTTCGAAAGAGAGTTGATTTGAACTTGCCAAGAATAGATAAGAAAGGAAAACTGTGTGACAATACATATCAGAGTGAGAGAGAAGAGAGGGATGAGAATGGGCATTGTGGGTGTAAACTGAAGCAGGCCTGGCTGTGCCAGCACCTACACAACGTTGGCTGGGGCTCGGCCTTTTCCAGCGTTTGATGCTGTGGACAAAAGGGTGGGGGTGGGGGCAGGAGAATGGGGAGATAGTGGCCATGCAGGGGCAGACAGTAGCACAAAAGCTTCCTACCGAAGGGCCTGGGCTTCTCAGCACTGGGACAAAGGGTAATGAAGTGAGAAGTCCTCGAGGGTCCCTTAGCCACTGCAGAGTTGTTGTGGGTTGAATTGTGTCCCCCAGAAAGATTTGTTGAAGTCCTAACTCCCAGTACCTGTGAATGTGACCTTATTTAGAAATAAGGTCTTTGCACATGTAATCAATGTAAACTGAGGTCATATTGGATTAGGGCGGGCCATAATCCAATGACTGGTGTCCTTAAAGAAGAGGGAAATTTGGACATAGATACCCAGAGACAACACCAAGTGAAGACACAGAGACACAGAGAGAATGCCATGTGACAACGGAGGCAGAGAGTGGAGTGATGCAGCCACCACCAGAAGCTAGTAAGAGGCGAGGAAGGAGTCTTCCCTAGAGCCTTCAGAAGGAGCATGGCCCTCAGAATTCTAGCCTCCAGAACGATGAGCAAATAAATTTCTGTTGTTTCAAGCACCCAGTTTGTGGTACTTTGTTATGACAGCCCTAGGAAACTAATACAAGAGCTAATGGTGAGATTAGAGAAGAGCGGACACATGGATCCTCTCGAAGCTTCAAACATAGCCCAGAGTCCAAGAAGAGGTTATGCTAAGTATTAAAAATGAGTCTGTAGATCTAAATATAGATAATAAATCCATTTCTTTGGAAAGCTATCTGTCTGTATTATTAAGTCAAACGAATCAGGTCACAGAACAGCATGTAAAATATGACCGCACTTTTGTGAAATTACATAATTAAAGCAGGATGTCTGCAAGGGTGTCTGCTAGATTGTTAGGAATGATTACCTCTGGCCATGGGATTTCAGAGGGCAGCAACCTTTTTACTCTCTGATTTTAAGTGCCATTTGTGTTTTGTAGGACCATGCATTATTTTAATAAGAATAATGTATTTTCATTGGGAGGGGAAAAGGTTGAGGCTGAGGAAGAATTCTAAAGTGTTTTGTTTCACATTTGCATCAGACCATGGCAAAGTTAGCTACCGGTGCTGCTGTAGAAGGCCAGTCTGGAAGTGGTGTGAAATTTCTGAATCAGAAACTGAGACAGGGAGATCTTCTCATCTGTTTTCAGGGACTCATCCCCATTCTTCCAATACAGCATCAGATCTTCATCTGTATAGGCATCTTTGGGGAGAGGAAAATAGGTTAACTTGATTCCTTTGATTCCTCTTCTTCTGATGCAGGGGGAAGCAACAGGGAAATCCCATACCAGCCTAGGAGTAAGCAGGTCCTGGTAGGCAGGACTCAGTCTCATGGTTACTAAAATGGCACAAAGATCAGAGAGGGAATAAGGCCGAGATTGGCCATTAGGAATATTGATACTTACAGCTTTCCAGCTCCAAAGAACAGGTCTGGGAGTCCAGGGGAAAGTGGCTGAAGTCCATGTTGCACATGGCAGTGACCGTAATCCTAGACAACCCAAACACACATGTGGGCTCGTGCAGGGAGTTATTGGCTCACATGCATGCACAGAGTAAGAGGAACACAGACCCGACCACGAGCAGATGCCTCCTCATGTCTACTGCAGAAGTTTGGAAACCCAGGTACGTAAGTTGTAGAACCTTAACATTGAGAGTTTTGACTTCTAGAGGAAATGTTATTGGTGTTCTGCCTGGATCCCAGATGTTAGCTGCTAACAGACCACATCTGTTCCCTTCTCTGGGCATTGCCTTCAGCCAGCCTCCCGCAGAGATGCCCAGGAGGTTATGCCCCTTCCATACCCCTCACCCAACGCTATTAGCATCTAATTCTGGTGAACTGTACAAGCAGGCCAGGAGGATGTGGGGTAAGACTGTGTAATCCCTCCAGTTAGTCCAGAAGCCAATCTGCAGCAGCACTCAATAAACAGTAGCTATTGTTATTTTTTTAAATCTTTAATACAAATAAAGTAGAATCAAAAGCTCTCAGAGGTAGAAGGTACATAGAAGGTCATTGTCTCCCTCAACTCACTCAGACCTAACTAGTCTCCTAACTCAAGCTTAAGGTCCCCAACAATAGGAAGTCACTGGCTACTAGGGAGTCATCTTGAGAGAGGTCTAACTGGCATAGGAAGCCACATCGTGTAGCCCCCAGACCCAACCACAGTGACAAACTCTTCAGGGCCACACATATTAGAATGACATTGGACAAAGAAACCATGATCCCATGGACAATTACCTCATGCTGTACAGCACGTGCCCATCCGGGAACACCCTCAGCATGATGTTGTCGGTGGTGGTGTCGTGGATGAATGACCTTTTGGAGTGAACAAAGAAGACGTCAGGGACCCAGATCTTCTTTACCAGCCGGCCATCAAAGGTCATGCTCTTGTTGCTGGTGCTGGAGAAGGCCAGCCTCTCGTCCTTCCAGTAATGCCGCAGGTACAGGGTCATGGTGAAGTCCTGTGGGAGCCGGGGTGAGACCAGATAGAAACAGCTTAGACAGCTTCCTTCCTCACGATCGACCCATCATCCACCACTGTAACGGATACCTCAGCCTCTGCCTCCAGAGTCAGAGCTGGCAGTTCTGCAGCCCTGCGGGATGATGGCCAAGACGATGGTGCTGCTGCAATAGGAAAGAGAATAGCTTGTTTTTGTGCATGGGGAGTTTGGAGCCAGGAGACTGAGCTGCCCATCCTTCGGGCTTTGCAAATGAAACCTGCAGCTGTGATGCTGACAGCCTGGCCTGGGGCCAGCAGGGCGAGATTTCCCCAAAGCCCTGCTGTACCTCACCTGGACCTTTGCACACATGACTCCTTACCTAACTGGTTAACCACTCAATTTCAGCTTAGTGGACACTTCGAGAAACTTAGACAGTCAAGCGTCCCATTTAGGACAGTTTCTATCATTGGACTTGTAAGATCCTTGAAGGTACAGTTGTGTCCTGCTCACCATTGAATCCCCAGGCCCTACTTTAGGGCCTAGAAAGGCACACAGTGGGTGCTTAATAAGTATTTGCAAGATAGAAAAATCAGGGGGATGATCAGATGAGGGGATGGGCAGCTGCATACCTACTATAATTTCATCCTGAAAGCTTATCCTGTTAAAAAGGGTCTCCTCGCCTGCCTTAATAGGTAGTGCCTTAAACCGAGAGTTGGGCCTTACGCCACAGCCAGAGCTACAACACAAGTGCAAACGAGTCAATAACCACCCAAAAGACCTCTTCTGGGAGCAAGTGGAGGGAGGATGGAAAGATCCATGGCGGTGGTGGGCTCGGACCGTAGCGGCCACTTCTGCTCCACCACCACAGCCTCCTCCCTCCTGGCTGTCCTGCAGGGCTCGCCCACCTCTCCAACCCCATCTCTTCCCTATTTTGTGCCCTGCTCCTTTAGTTTGTAAACTTCCTGTTTCTTCCGCCTCCGGCACCTTTTCCAACCTCTCACTCTGGCCTTCCCCAGGGCTGTCTCTTTTTTATCCTTCAGGTCTCAGCTGAAACAAGGCTTCTTCAGAGCCTTCCCTTTCCACTCGACCTTGCTGGGCACTGCCGAGGAGTGCGTAGGGAAGCTATGCTCTCGGCGGGCACTGGAGATCAAAGAAGTACAGAACTTCAGTCTGACAACGTCCACCTTCCGTGCTCCTCCAAGTGCGGTTCATCTCACCACTCGCATCACTTGAGGAGTGTGTTCAAAATGTAAAGTGCTGGGCTTCACTACCAGAGACTCTGAATGAGGAAGTCTAGGGCGGGGCCCAGGAATCTGTGTTTAACCACCTCTGCAAGTTATTTTTGGCCATGAAGCTTGAGAAGCTCTGCTCTAGACTTTACTGCACTTCCACCTCCCAGTTTTATCCCCTCTGGCCCCAGCTCTGCCCACAGCCTGCGCCCCCACAGCCCCACCAGCCATGGCTCTCGCAGAGGCTGCCCCACCACGGGCGCCACGTACCATGTCCACCTCCGAGATGCTGTCCAGGCTCTCCACCTGCACGTCCACGCCCACCGGGATGGCAGGGCCTGCAGAAGAGCAAAGACAGCTGGTTAAGGCACGTTTCTCTCCACCACCTGGCTGGGAGACAGCCCAACCCTCCTCCTGGGGAGTCTGACTGGAGCAGGGGTGAGGCAGTGGTTCCAATTCTATAAGGTTTTCTTGCAAGTTCCTGACATGTTGGGTGCCCGAGCTTCCTCTGAGAGAGCAGGAACTGTGTCTGCCTGTATGTGCCTTTCTGGGCCAAGTTGGGTGTTTAATCCATGCTTGTTGGAGGAGTTCATGAGCTGGATTACTCCTTTCTACATCCCAGGGCTGTCTCTAGGGCAGAGGTAATAATGTTGCTCTAGTATCTGAGCAGAGACCCTGGTCATTTGTCCTCCTGTGACATCTGTAAAGGACAGAATGAGCCTTAAGAGCCACTAACCCCGGGTTGAGGCACCTGCACGCCGGGGGCTGGATTCACTCAGTCATTCAACACATAGCTGGGATCCTGCCCTCCAGAAGCCTTCCACCCTGTGTGAGACAAGATCTTCTCTGTGCGCAGTTAGATCGCAGCAAAAGAGGACACTGCGCAAGGTTTTGAAACCCTTTCAGGACATGTCGGATGAAAAGTACGAGCATACGTAGTGCAGACACCTAGCACTGAATTTTATCTGGCCTGAGGCAAGATTTCTAAAACCGTGTTTATCTGTGGGTTTACCTGTGGCTTCCTGTTCTATTTCTTGAGCTGGGTGGTGGTTACATGGGTAGGTTCACTTTGTGATAACTTAGTGGGCTGTACACCTATAATTTATGTACTTTTCTGTGTGTATGTTATGCTTCCATAAAATATTTTTCTAGATATTAGTATTTTTTTTAAACCTAGAATGGAGAAAACCATAAATCTGTGTCTGTCAAGCATGTTAATGAAGGCCATTACATTCACAAGTGAAAAAGGTCTCTGAGAGAGTCTCCTGGGGAGAGGGCATCTTAGACGCCAGCCCCACTACACCTGGGTCCTTTGAGCCCCGGCCAGGGAGTGCAGGACCAGGGCATGCCAACCCACCCGGTCTGAGCCAGGAGAACCTTAGGATGGCAGCGGGAGTCTGGGTCTTAGGGAGTGAGAAGGACTAGAAGGGGCTGAGACCGGCGGTGGGCCGGGAAGGAGGATCGGAGATCCTGACATTGAGTAGGAACTAGAAGGCTCAGTCCTCAGTTTCAGCCCAAAATGGCAGCAGGAGGTCCTCATGGAGGTGGCCCGGGGCATTGGATGGGCTCACCGACTCCCCCGAATCTCCTCCCCGTAGGCTTGTTAATACTTGCAATTCCACCTTTAAAGATTTGGCTTTTTGGCTGAGCCTGATAGAATGGGAGCATTTTATTTATTACTAGTGGGATTTAGCGGATATTTTCTGTGTTCTCAAACATGAAAACAAATGAGTACAATGCTTTATTTTTGCTTTTTCCCTCTCAGATAAATCAGGGTGTGAGCTGATCCTTTTATTTTCCTGTGTCCCTCAACTGACGACTTAGGTCAGGGCCCATGAGAAATTCATGCCCTGAAAGCCATATTCTCTTCTTATTCTAGGCTCCAGGAATGCCTGGAAGGTGCCAGGAGTGGAATGTTCCATGTGGGGAGAAGGTCTCCTCTTCAGGGCTAACTGGTCTGCCTTTCTCTCCAGAGGGGCTTGCAACACCAGGGCGGGTCTGCCCACAGCCTGGCCAGGGTCTCTCCCAGTACCCGGACCCCTGCACCCCTGCACCCCTGCACAGGGCTCCATGCTCCCAACATGGCCATCAGGGAAGTGGGCTGGTTAATTTCCCCATCCCATCCTCTGGACCCTTCCTTAGCCTGAGATATTCAAATGGCCCAAGCAGAGCTCTTAACCCCCAGCAGCGCTGCCTCTCAAGGAAAGTGTGCCGTACTCCACCCGACTCACCATTCCCCTGTGCTCCCTTTCTCTGAAGTGCTGCATGACCTGCAACATCCAGTCGTGCCAAGAGCCAAAGCGAAGAAACAATATAGCCATCACTCTCTGGACGTACTTCCCAGGGGCCTGGTTTTCAGATAATGGGCACAGTGTTTGGTCAAGAGCTTGTTTTGACAAAGGACATTTTCCAGATAAAATATCAGCTTGCTTGGTGTCTGTTACTGTCTCTCTGCCTTGCTCTCCACAGCTCCAGCCTCCGTTCTAAGAGAAACTGGATAAAGCCCGCGAGGGTGGGGTCAGTGCTCTGGAGGTATTGTCCATGTGGGAGTGCAGGTCAAGTTCTCAGTGAACCTGGTTGTCGGAGGTAAACAATCTGTACGTTCAGGAGGCTCTAGAGCTGCATTCAGGGGGACTCACACCTCAAGCTTGAAGAGAACTGATGGCCCTGCCTCCTTGGTCTGAGCAGCAAGAGAGTTGACCTTTGTCTTTGACCTGCCCCACTGCCCAAGGCTAACACTCCCGAGCTCTCGTGAACTCCCCATTTTGTGGCCCTTAACAACCTGGTTTTGGGAGAAATTCTTCCAAATCATTGGTCCTTCTCCTTCTCTGAACAATTTTATGTTTTGAGTAGGACTGAGTCCTATCAGGTATTAGGAGGAATATAGTCTAGTTAAACTAACCAGGCACCATGCCTTGGCCCCTTAACACTGCTGAGGGGTGTTCTGCTTTAAGAGAGGGATCTGGTGAGCCAAATAGAAGTCCTTGGTGGGATTTCAGGTAGCAGAGCCAGCGAGGTGACAAATTCAAGGCAGCCTACGGGAAATACATGTTTAGCCAAGGGCTTTTCTTGGTTCCTGGCCTTTCTGTCATTATTTTTCCTGTATGTGTCCTGGAAAACACACCTTAGGAATTTACCCAGTTTTGAAATAAAGATATATGTCATTTCTTTCCCACTGACTCTTCAAGAATGAACGTAAGATAGAATTTTCAGACAAAGTGTTAAAACTGAGAGAAACTGCCAACAGGCCTCCTGCCCTAAATGAAGATGTTTTTCAAGCAGAAGGAGTATGATCCCAAAGGAAAACCTGGAGATTCAAGAATGAATAAAGAGGGCCGGCCCCGTGGCTTAGCGGTTAAGTGCGCGCGCTCCGCTACTGGCGGCCCAGGTTCGGCTCCCAGGCGCGCACCGCCGCACCACTTCTCTGGCCATGCTGAGGCCGCATCACACATACAGCAACTAGAAGGATGTGCAACTATGACATACAACTATTTACTGGGGCTTTGGGGGTGGGGGAAGAATGAATAAAGAACAACAAAAATGGTAAATATATGTATAATTCTAAGTGAACATTGACTATATAAAACAATACTAATAAAGTATTGTGGAGTTGAAAAAACTAAACAAAAATACACAACAAAAATAACATTTAAGTAGGGAGGGATGTAAATGGAGTGACAGTGTTCTGAGGTCTTTACATTTTCCGAGAGAACAGTAAAAGTAACTAATTAACATACTAATATGAGAAGCCAAGGATTCATGTTGTTTTCTGGGGAACCACCAAAAAATAGTAAGAGTACGTATTTTCAAAACTAAAATAGGAAACCAAAATGGGAATAATCAAAAATAGTTAATCCAAAAGAAAGCAAGAGGGCTGGCCCCGTGGCTTAGCAGTTAAGTGTGGGCGCTCCGCTGCTGGCAGCCCGGGTTCGGATCCTGGGCGCGCACTGATGCACTGCTTCTCGGCCATGCTGAGGCCACGTCCCATATACAGCAACTAGAAGGATGTGCAGCTATGACATACAACTATCTACTGGGGCTTTGGGGGAAAAATAAATAAATAAGTAAATAAAATCAAAAGAAAGCAAGAAAGGAGGAAAAGAAAGAACATAGAATAGGTTGGGCAATAAAAAGGACATAGTAGGATGATAGATTTAAAATCAATATATAAATAATTCAGTAAATACAAATGGGGGGGCCTGCCCAGTGGCACAAGCGGTTAAGTGCGTGTGCTCCGCTTTGGCGGCCCGGGGTTCACCGGTTCAGATCCCGGGCACGCACCGACGCACTGCTTGGCAAGCCATGCTGTGGCGGTGTCTCATATAAAGTGGAGGAAGATGGGCACAGATGTTAGCCCAGGGTCAGTCTTCCTCAGCAAAAAAAGAGGAGGATTAGCAGATGTTAGCACAGGGCTGATCTTCCTCTAAATAAATAAACAAACAAATATATAAATACATACATACATACAAACAAATGGACTAAATACTCCAGTTAACAAATATTTTCAGATATTTACAAAAATTGACCATATACTGTGCCTTAAAGCAATTTCAAGAAATTTTAAAAGAATGGAATGTATATAAAGTACAAACTCAATGAACATTAGAAATTAATGACAAAAATCCCCATATTTTTGGAAATTAAGCAATATACTTCGGGAAATCCATGGGTTAATGAAGAAATCATAATGAAAATTAGAAAATTTTAATTAAATGATAAAAAAGTACTACATATCAAAATTCATGGAATGCAGGCTAAATATTTCTTACAGGGAAATTTATAACCTTAACTGAATATATCAGAAAAGAAGAAATGCTTAAATTTAATGAGCTAAGCATCCATCTTTAAAAGTTAGGAAAAGAACAGCAAATTAAAGTAGATGGAATGGGCCGGCCCTGTGGCTTGGTGGTTAAGTGCGCGCGCTGCGATGCTGGTGGCCCGGGTTCGGATCCCGGGTGCGCATCGAGGCACCACTTCT